GGGGGGGGGGGGGGGGGAGGGGCGGGGCCGGTCCCGCCTGCCTCCCCGGCCCTCCGCAAGTCTGAGCCTTCTGGGGACTGCAGGGAAACCTCCTCCCATGGGACAGCCAGGCTGCTGCGGGAGGAGATGCACTGAGGCCAAGCCTGGGCTGGTAGGAGATGGGTTTGGTCGCTGCTTGGCCTCTCGTACAGGGGGAAGAGGCTAAGGAAGCAGGTTCCCTCTCCCCCATCTTCCCGCCTGCCTCCCCGGCCCTCCGCAAGTCTGAGCCTTCTGGGGACTGCAGGGAAACCTCCTCCCATGGGACAGCCAGGCTGCTGCGGGAGGAGATGCACTGAGGCCAAGCCTGGGCTGGTAGGAGATGGGTTTGGTCGCTGCTTGGCCTCTCGTACAGGGGGAAGAGGCTAAGGAAGCAGGTTCCCTCTCCCCCATCTACTCCTAGGAAAGGCAGAAGGTCCTACCTGTTCTGTGGCAATCATTCTGGGAGCAGCTTCTCCCCCAGAGTCCAGTGGGGTTTTCCTGCCCTGGCAAGATCTTGAGGCTTGGCTGGGGGGGCTCTCCTCCAGGCTTGGCTGGCTGGCCTCTCCTCCTGTGCCCTGCAGCAGCTACCCAAACCTATGGGGCTAGGGTGAGCTGTGCCTGGCCCTTTCTGGGAGGATTGGGGAGGGGGGTGCCCTGGTATTGTTAGGGCCCTGCCCTGTGGCCAGGGGAGGAACTGCTGCTCAGTGCTGCAGGTGGCAAGTGGCAAGGAGAAGGTTTGATGCCATAGATCTGTGTGCTGCTCCCTCACCTGTCCAGAGAGCAGTGACTGCAGCAACCTCCCCTAGCTGCTGTGGTGGAAAGGTGTAGCCAGGAGAGAGGGGAGCACGGGTTGGGAGGGCACAGAGACATCTACTCAGCCAAAGGGGGGAGTTTTCCCTTGTGGCACCAGCTTCAAAGAAATCCCAGGCAGGAAGAGGCTCTCTGGAGGTCTTTTGCTGAGAGTCACATGTATTACAGATGCCCTCTAAACTGACTCTCAGAGCAGCCACCTATGGGCTGTCTCTGGGTACTTGGCTGCCTCTGGGGCTGGAGATTCCAAATCTACTCCCTCCTGTTAAACAGGGGTGAGAAGGCACCTGGGACTGGCTTCCTAAAAGCTTCTTCCAAATGCACGTGTTCTTTCCAGGCATTCTAGAATTCCCGGCATCCTCTATTTGTGCATTCTAATAGCAGTGCTCAATTATGCACGCTATCTAAAATGTATAAATTAGGGAGCAATATGAGTCTTCAACTGCAGGCAAAATAAAGAATTGAAGTATTGTAATCATAGGGCTGTTATGTAACTAGATTCTTTCTTTCTTTCTTTCTCTTTGGATAGCAGACTTCTTTAGTTGCTATAACAAAGCTACTCCTTCAGTTTTTCTGGGACAGCTCCAGGAAACAATCATTGTAGCAGACTCTCCTTAATGGAGCTAAGCATGTATGGTTTCCCTCACCTCTAAACATACAGTGCTAGTACTGTAGCTCAAGATTTATTACTAAGACTTGCATGATACTGTGAATTTAGGTTTTCAAAGCCCCCTTGACTTGACACATTCTCTGCTATGAACAGGTTTCATGTTTCACTAACTTTGTGGTCATCCTATGGTGAAACTAACCATACCAATAGACATAGGCTTCGCACAGACAGCTGCTCTTTCCTTGTGTAGTCCTTCAAATGGAGGCCCTAAACTGGTTCTCCCGTTGTTCCACAAACTAACAATGGAGAACTGAGTTCGAAGTGGCTGTGTGCTTGCTATTCATGTGCTAGTTGAAATGGATCCTACCTCAAAAGTGCTAATCCAAACAGGCCCACTAGTTGCTCAGGCAAAATTTGCCAATTTTGTCCTACTGGGCATTTTGGCTGAGCAAGGATTAAACAATCAAATAAAAGTTGAATCTCTGTGGTCTAGCATGATTTTAGGTAGCCATATATCCATTTACTGTGGGTGTGGCCAAGTTTGCCCATGGTCCTGTAAAGTTTGTTTACAGCCACCAGTGCTGGCTCTGTGTTTTGTGCTATTGTTTAGCTCTAATTTACCACTGAGGGTATGGCTAGACTACCAGTTTTTGTTGGGGAAAAGGTACGCAAAATGGGCTCGGCATTTTGACTACCTTTTCAGATTCTTTTTCGGAAGAGGCTTTTCTGACATCTGGCCTGTTTAGACTGGGCCAAATGTTGGGGGGAAAACCTCTTTTGGAAGCCCCCTTATTCCTCGTAGAATGAGGAATACATGGGCTTCTGAAAGAGCACGTTTGCTCTTCCACAAAAAAGCAGAAGAGCAAATGCATTCCCTGGGCGCGGTGGAGTTTTTTCGGGATATCTCTGGTATCCCGAACTCCCCTCCCCTCCCCCCATTTAGCTGTACCCTAAATGTAGTCTAAGCCCAGCAAAGGCTTAGTGGAAGTATGGGCAATGCTGCTAGACAATATTGACCTCCCATGGTTTGGCAAATTCTCTGGTTTGACACCAGCCAGGTGCCGAGGGTGCTGGATTAGAGAGGTTCAACCTGTAGTAACTTTCAGACTGCATGAAAAACTGTGTCCCTACTGTGGGTTTTGAGACCAACATAGAGGTGACTCAGCATTGACCAGTATAGACCTCTCTAGCTAGCTCTAGCAGGGAGGAAGAGGGAACACCTGTCAGATGTGCCTTAATTCAGGCTCTTAAAAGGCCATAGACTGGTGTTCTTGTCTTGGTTGGAATCACTGTTCCACTGCAAAAGTAGCAACCCTGCCATCACAACCTTGCAATGTTATGTAGTGCATGAGACAGGATCGAAATGGTTTAGTTTTCATTGATTCCCTTCTGCGCTTTGCCAGGTTGAACAATGACACGGGAAGGTAGACCTGAAACTGCTTCACTTCTGGTCTGAACTAGCAAGGACTGCTGAATGAATGACCCTTCACCATACATTTGTAAAGGGAGCGAACACACACTTGTGTGAAATAGTGACGGCTTCCACTACGATAGACATTGAATGTGTTCACCTCCAAATAGTGTTGTGATACACAGTCACAGTAATACATCACGCCATTGGCTATATTTTCAAAGGAATCTGGCTTTTGCTATTTGCTTATTGTAACTTAAAGGGGTAGAAGATCTGTGTTTGGGAGTTAGGGGTTTTTAAAGCTAAATGTGTACGTGCAGGTGCTACTTGGCTGTTTCTAGTCTAATCTCCAAGTAGCTGCCTGTACTACACCTTTCCACAACCCAGTAGTATATCCTAGGATTGCTGTGTATTGTGCCTATAACAAGATGTTGTGCAAGACACAGGTTTGTATTTGATGCAGCCTGCAGTATAAACACTGTACCCAGAACTGTTACATTATGGAGCCAATGTATCTGAATGCATGACAGAACTGGAGCAGAATTCCTGTGAGCCAGTCTTAATCCTTTGTTCTTCCTTTAGGTTCACCATGTCTGACAGAAAGGCTGTGATCAAGAATGCGGACATGTCCGAGGACATGCAGCAGGATGCTGTAGACTGTGCTACACAGGCAATGGAGAAGTACAACATAGAGAAAGACATTGCAGCATATATAAAGAAGGTATTGTGTCGTTGCTATAAGAGAGCATAGAGCTAGCTGGAACACAGTGACTATCTTACTTGCATATTTGACCCTCTGCACCCCTGTGAGGTAGGCTGAAGCAGTTACCCCCACCCCCCCCGCGTTACGCGCCAT